TAGTCAAAAGTTATTTAAATAATATAATGTAGTGCGTGTTTACCAATTTAGGGAACACGGAATTTTTCGTCCGTATTACATTGGAGTAAGTCGATTTTTTTTTTGCAAGATACTTGTATATAAATACACTTTCAGACAAATTTCAAAATGTTTATCATTTTAAAGTGCACATTTGCAGTACAATATATGATTTTTTAAATAGCAATTCCTATTTTGAACATCATATTCGAAAAGGCTTATTTTTTTTAAAACGCAAAAAATCATTTATAATTATTATCTGTATATATAAAACAGTAAGCTGATTGACTGCTATCAACGCACAGCTCAAACCATTGGACGGATCTGGCTGAAATTTGGCATACAGATAGCTATTATGATGTAGACGTGCGCTAAGAAAGGATTTTTCGAAATTTTGAATTTAAAGGGTTGAAATCGGTTTAATATTTTTTGACCAGGTCGATAACTGCGCTATTGAAAATGAATTATATTAAATAAAACTATTAAAAAAATTATTAAAAAACTATTAAAAACTATTTAAAAACTATTAATTTTATTTTTGGTAGTAAATGACGGGTATTGCATAAATATTAAACAAAAAGATCCCGCAACAGGTGCTAAAACAAATAAGAATGTTCAAAAAATTATTATGCATATCGGTTGATGATTAGACGCGATCAGGACTAAGTTATTTTACGATGCATAAGCTTTGTCAACAATTCATGATCGAAATATATATAAAGATAGATAGCGAACAATTTCGATACTTCGATTTCGATTCAATCAAAAAAAGCTGCGTGCAAAAGATTCTCAAAACAATTGTTAGATATTGGAGATGGGAAAGTTACTACAGATGAAACGGGATGTATAAAATTACCGAACGATTTCTGCACAATCATTTATTCGCAAGATGCTCTCATTGACCAGGTATGTCCTAGTGTACACAGACAATACACAAATCATGAGTGGCTGGCAGAAAGAGCAATTTTAGTAGCAAAAAATGTGGAGGTCAACGAATTGAATCTCAAGATACAAAATTTGTTACCAGAAAACTTGGTGTCATACAAATCTAGATACAGTTTGCGATGCTACTGAAGTCGTAAATTATCCAACAGAGTTTTTAAACTCATTGGATTTACTAGGCATGCCACTGCATAATTTACAATTGATCATTACAATTTACCATCGATAAAACACCTCCTTCAGAGTCATTTAAAGTTGTAATACATGCAGATAAAAAACCACCAGAAGAACATAGAGACAGGTATAATGCACCAACGGCAAATGAAGTTGCTTTAGTGTTAGTAGATCAGCAGTTTGATCGAAGAAACATCATCCTCGAAAACCGAGTAACTCACTTCACCGTATCAGTGAGATACATCGAGCATACGACGCACTGCAGTATCCTTTTATGTTTTGTTGGGGGAATGATGGGTATGCAATCAATATACCACAACGCGATCCAAAAACCAAGTTACCGCTTAAAAAAAATGTCGCTGCATCAAGTTTTTACTCATATAGAATAATGGTCAGAGAAGGGGAAGACAACTATTTAGTTAATTATCGTTCTCTTTTCAGTCAATATTTGGTAGATGAATACGCCAAAATTGAAACTGAAAGACTAAATTACATCAAAAACAACCAAGCCAAATTGCGTGCAGATAGTTATATTCATTTAAAAGATGCGATTGGACGACGAGACATAGAAGCTAATCAGTTAGGCCAAATGGTTATACTCCCGTCAACTTTTACTGGTGGGCCAAGGTACATGCACGAAAGAACACAAGATGCTATGACCTACGTTAGACATTACGGTCGTCCTGACCTTTTTATTACTTTTACATGTAATCCTCGCTGGGACGAGATAAAAGAGCTCTTACTTCCCGGTCAAAGATCATATGATCGACATGATATAATTGCAAGAGTGTTTCGGTTAAAGTCAAAAATACTTATTGACAAAAGGTAAAATATTCGGAGAAGTGAGATGCTATATGTATTTAACAGAATACCAAACTGTAGAGAGGTTCAGGTAGTTGTAAGCTATAACTTATCGAATAGGTTATGATAATAATCATTATCTTAAAAACTAAATTAATATGTATAAAATATTATTTCAAAAATTTTAATTAATTTAAATTTCAATAGATTTAACAAAATTTAATCTTGGCAGGTTACATACATTTATATACTTAAACCCGGCAACGACGGGTAATTCAGCTAGTTAATTATTATTAAATAAATAAATTTATTTTATTTTATTATTTTAATGAATCGTAAGAATGTGTTTTTTTTTAATTTAATTGATTTTTCTTCGGTTAATTTCGAATTTAGAACCACAGTTGATACATCAAAATTACTGAAAAATAAAATAGATCTGTCCGATTATTATGTTCAAAATATGTTTTCCTATTTAAAAAAACACATATTGTTCTATCAAGGTATTTTCCAGGGGAAAATTCATTTGGGGACCCTTTGACCATAATAATAAGATATGATAAACAAAATACTCACTAAGAATAACAAAATTCTTGCAAACGTATTTTTCCGCGCCTCAACCAATACCAATACCAATACCAATACAAAAACCAATACCAATAACCAATACTGCATTACATACTAATATAATAGAATCGAATATTATTCCTATTATTTATAATTTAATTATTTATCGGGCAAGTCGCTAACGTTCACACGCGCGCGACTTTAATCGCCGACACACAGCATGTAAAATTGCTCAGTGTAATCGAGGATTTATTATTAATTATTATATTACCAAGACTTTATGGAGGTCCCTAAAAAATATTCCAATAACGGAACCAAGGGGAAAATGGTACCATATCCCCCTCCCTCTCTGAATGGCCTTAACCCGCACGTTGCACGTGGGGCAAGCGTAACGGATCGTTTTTCTTTTTTTTTTAACTTTTCACCACACAATGTTATGATATCCAACAGGTGGCAATCGAATCGAACGGTTAACTAGTTGTCGATTGGCTTTGGGTCCCATGTACTTTTTTTTTTTTTGAAGAATAACATGGGGTGTAGTGTTCACCGCAAAAATTAAGTGAAAACCGTTTGTACGTGTACGAAACAAAATTAATTGGTAATCACAACTTATTTCAACACAAAAGTTGGTTAAAAAATGTACCTAACATTATATTTAGACGGCGCATTGTATTTAATAAAAAATTAAATAAAAAAAACAACATACCTCTACACAGCTGTGTAACGTTTGACACTGCGAGAAAACGCATAATAACGAGAGGGCCTACTGTGGTCAGTTACTTATTTTTCACATTGCGTTTCATTTCAAAAAAACACCACTATTCATTTATAATGTCCCATTTGACATTTAAATGCACCGACATAGGTGGTAGACCAGGTAGCATTTGCAATAATTACATTTCATAGGAATTTTTTTTTTTTTTTTTTATGTAACTCATATTGTTCATTACTTTAACGTTATATCAGTTATAATTTCACTTTATGGTGTTTCCATTTGACAGGCATGTCAAACTCAAAACATGAAAAGGGCCAAATATATTGAATAGTTTACTACGTAGGCTGTATATAAACATATTTTTTATTATTATATAAATACATATAAAACCATCAACTTATCTGATTACAGTTTATCAGAATATTAAGCATAATAATGTATATGAATCAAATATAACATTCTTTAAGAATTTAAGTTAGTTACGGCACCGCATTAATATTTTATGATTTTTTTAACTATTAATTTATTATGTTGTCCATTTATATTGATAGTCACGGGCCACAAAAAAATTAGCTATAGGTCACGTGTTTGACATGCCTACCATAGGTTATACTCAGTGATGTGTTTTCAGGAGGGGACGGGTCCCAAATAATTTATATCCTGATATTTACAATCAGGGGCGTATTTAGGGGAGGGGGTGATATGGGTGTTAGAACACCTCCCTCCTATCGACCGTATTTTATGGTATTTCACCTAATTGCAAACTTACAGTATAATTTGAATAAACGTTGTATACAACCTTCAGATTTTACATATACTGTATTAATACAATAATTTTAATTAATATAATAATTTATATAAATACTTGGTATTTATTAATGTAATACGGGAGGGGGGCAGAGCCTCCCACTTACCATAAGTCTATTAAATTTCTAAAATACCCCCGTTAAAATGAATCCTGGATACGCCACTGTTTACAATGCTTTCGCACCACCACCGTTTATCTATATCATAAAAATGTCCATATTTAGACACTCGTCGATGTAGTATACTCACAACAAAATCAATGGGAACATCACATATTTAAATACCGGTACGATAACTGGAGTAAATTGTAATAAGTAATAACTTTTGATATTTTAATGTGCACATAGTTTTTATTTTTCACAATCATATCAAATTAATTATACTAGTATCACAATAGTTTTTATTTTACACGGTTAGGTATAACTAAGTTAATTTTGGTACTTATTAAAAATGTAATATAATATACTTAACTAGATGAATTATAATTTTAAAACAATTAAATGCTTACAATATAAACTAGAGCTCTTAATACGCGTGAATTCACGGAATTCACGTGTCACGTGTCACGTGTAAAATCCAAAATAAAAACGTATATCCTTAACTTAATACTGTACTATTAATATTTTATTAAAACTTCAAGTGTATAACATACAATTACTAATTTTACTATTGTAAAAATGGATATATATTTTGGATAAACATGTATTTCACGTGTACACGTGAATTCCACGACACGTGTTTTAAGAGCTCTAATATAAACCTACTGACTAGACTCACTTGAACGTAGTATATTTAAGATGGACGCGAAATGCATTGATATATTACAATATTCTATGCAATTTTATTTTTATTTTTTATGTGCATTTAATCCGTGGCAATTGTGTTGCGACCTCGGCGAGTAATTGCAAATTGTAATTTTCGTTTTTGAGCTCAATGTTCCTTTTCGCGTAAGATAGTTCTTTATTTTCTGTGCTAAAAATTATTTATCATAAACACATGTTATATTAAAGATCTATTTATTATATTTTTTTTTTTTTTTTATAAAATTTGTACATACTTAGGCCAAAATATTATTTTGCTTGCTAGTTATTATTTATCATTGTAATCAAGTAAGAATAATTCAATCAGAAGTTTTAATGATTATTACAAATTTACGAAAAACATTTAAAATAGAAAATGTATAACATAAAAAAATGGATTGTTATTTTTATGCTTTAAGGTTACTTATCTGACCTTATATTATGTCTTTAAGTGAATAATGTACCTAAGTAATAACGGTGAATTGTAGCATGCGTGTGACAAAAATATATATTTCAAACTAAACCAGCAAAGCACAACATACTTTATTGGTTGTTATACTATTATAGACAAAATAAATATTTTTTCATGTAAAAACCGAACCAATATATTCTCACAAAAGAAGTTCTTCATATTTATTAAACGTATATAATATAATTTGAAAAAATTATCGTAAGATCAATCACATTCATACCATTTAGTTGTCTTTTCAAAATGGTTAGCGAAACTGTTGCTATTGAAACACGTGAACTTTTTAATTTTCAGTAAAATAAGACTTTTGTCCACATTTTTTTCTTTTAATATGTTTGGAAGGATCCTGCGACGACTATTTATGAACCAGTTGTAAATCTGTAAAAGGTTAAAACATTATATCGTTCGACAATATCGTCAATGGTGTTTCATTAAAAATTACTTGGTTTTTTGTTAGGTTGGTGACTTCCATCAATATTTTTTTAGTAGACTCAGATGGATAGGGGTTGGTGCAATTTTCTTCAAGCCAACGAGTTAAAATGTTGACGGCGGCCTTCGGTAAATTTGGTCTTTTGTACGGTCTTACCGTCTCTTGGAGTTTCTTATTGATTTTCGCCATAAATACCTATTATATTTATGACAGTTTAATTTGAAACTGATTATAAATCGATAACTCAAATATTTTGAAAAAATAACTAAAAAAAAAAAAAAATGAAAAAAAAATAAAAGAACAAGTGCTGTAAATAATAGATACTGTTCGTGTATTATTTAAATTGGTCTGATTATTTGTTCCGGCTTACCGGCTAATTGCAACAGTCACACTCTATTGCTGTCAAAACCTATTTATAGTAAAGGCATGTGTTCTAAATGTCAAAGAGAACAGAATTTCGTTAAGTGTTCAATGGACATTGATGTATTGATTATTTAAATGTATATATTATTACGTCTGTTATCAAATAAATCAAGTTATATTTGCCTTTATACGTTTATATTATTGTATGTATAAATATTTTATTATATTCCAAAGGTTATCAAAAATATGTTTATAAAGATCGATGGATACGATACCATACTTTACATTTATTATATATTTACACATAAATATAACAAATATGGTTAAAGTTCAGCGAAGATTAAAGATTTAAGTTCCTTCGTACTCAATATGAGACCCTTTTTTATTTGTGCTATATTGATTGGTGATACATTAAAAATAATACAACTTAAAATATAAACAAATTAAATTACTATTTTTATAATTATTAGTATCAAACAGTTTTAAAACTACAGTGTAATAATACAAATATACTTACAAACGGTTACACGATTCAAGTTTTATGTGATTTGGAGTATAAATATTTTGTTGGCATTATAAACATTTTAAGGTGAGATTTTTTTGAGGGTAACAATCTTTTCGGTTGATTTTATGTTTTTGAATATATATATATTTTTATGGTATTTGAAATCATTACTTCTTATACACGAAGTCCTTGAAAAAAGAATTATATTTCTTGCATATTTTTTTCGTGATATTTTATAATGGCCATATAAAGTTTTTTTTAAACTTCTTGCGATATTTATAATAATTTGATTTGTTGTGTATCTGAAGTTTCAATTTCTCATATTGAAAAATAAGTGCAAATGTCTAGTGGTATTAGGTAAATAGCTATAGCTAATTCTAACTAATAACTATTCGTTTGCAAAAAAATAATACTCGTAAATCGGTAAATCGAATTAAATTATATATAAATATAAATTTTTATTTTTCCGGTATAGTTTTTTTTAATACATTATATTATAACATATTTTTGTACTTTTGATTTTATAAATTTTGTCTAAATAAGTCCTTAAATATATTTGCTTATAACATGCAATTATTCACGCACGGCCATTATGTTGTCACTGTTTAATGAGACTACTAAAATATAGTTAAAAATAAAAATGTAATATTGATGACACGAAATAAATCGAAAATTTATTGTTGTTCCAATGATTTTTGGTCAATACATTAATAAGTCGTTTTGAATGTGCTTCGATAAAATAGAGAAGATCGGTTCATGCGAAGCGTGTCTTAGTGAAACATAGTGTAATGGTTATTTGATAATAATACATTTTAAATAAAATAAAAAATAGATATGAAGAGCATGTACACCACACCAGAAAATCGAGAACCATTATAATATAATAAATACAATTATTGTATATTAATATACATTTCCATTGTTACTAAAATTAATGTGTTGAAGACAAACAGGTAATGCATATCAAATCAGTTTAAGTTTAAAGTTTCACAACTTGAAAATATAGGTATTTGTATGATTTTACGTTCAAGTGAACAATTGCGAATCGCAAAAACATAACAATAATAAAAAGTATTTCTGAATACTGAACTACTCAACTAAAGTTTAACTTAACTAAACCGAGTCTGTTTAAACAATTCAGTGGCTCTCATCTTTATACATATATCGAAACAAGTATTTTATTTAAATATACTGTTGTAATCACGATCATACGAGTGATTATTCATGAAATAATTATTAAAATTATTAAAATATCAAATATCCATCAGAATAATTGGTTAAAAAAAAAATATCGAAATTTATTCAATCAATAATGAATCATTTTAAATTTATTTTCATAGTATCATCTAATTTTAATTTCAATGTATAAATATTGAAAGAATACCTGCGTTATGAACAATATAATTTAGCATTAGTATTTTTTTTAAAAATAAAATTGTCAAATCAGATTATCCAAATATAAAGATTCTACCTCTTTGATACGCCTAAACCTGTGGCTGTTAGTATTATTCTGTTATTATAACTTCACATTTTTTTTTTTTTTAATATTGCATAGGAAAAATTAAAAAATATATTTATTTTACATGATTTTAGTTAATTTTAGTGATTAATTTGTCTTATAATGTTAAAATTGTATGATTAGAGCATACGTACATCTTTAAAATATTTTGAATGCACCGAGTTCACTTTTAAGAGTCATTTCGGCAGAATTATAAATTACAATTTTTTAATGATATTAAAATGGACATTTCAATGATAATAAAACCATCATTGTTCTTTCAGGTATGACAATATATAAGCAATGAATCATTTAGATGTAAAAATAATTCTACGGTATTATAAGTTAAATTTAAAATGCATTCCTCCCTGGAGCTCGTCTTTTAGCCAATATTATTTCAACCACACATGATTTTTTTAATTTGTCTTTTCATTTTTTTAAAACTGATGTATTTTAAATACATAATAATTTATGTAGGTGAACTATCTGTTTAAACATTGATTTCTGTATCGTTTTTTTTAAATTTTAAGCCATTTTTTACGAACGAATATTACTTTTATTGTACTTATTTATACTTCGGAAATATAATCTATTAATATAGTTTTTTAATTATTCTATAGTCTGCAATACGTTTTTGTTATATTTTTTTATGTTGAAGAACATTTTTTCCGTTGAATTTAAAATAAATAAATAAATATATAACATTTGATCTACAGCACTACTTGAAAGTTATATATTTTACTATACCATATTGATAAACGATATAGAGTCACAACCAATGTAAATACATTAAACAACATTAATAGTCAACGAAGAATCAACTAAGTACCTAATAAAAAAGAAATAGCATATTTTTAGATATTAACCTACTGAAAAAGTATAAATTATTATTATTATTTTTTTTTAATGCTTATTTCATAGGATTATAGCATTTGCTCAACACGTTATATGACATGTGGGAAAATAGGTCATAGAATCGTCCTCTGTGAAGTATGACTCATTAATTTTTTATTACTTTTATTTTAAAATGTATTGTTGGTATGGTTTATATCTTCTTCAGAAATTAGTTGCGAAGAAAAGGTTTCCCTTTTGAAATGTAATTTAAACCATTTGAGAAATTCTTTAGGTCAAAATCACTTATATTCATATCTTGCGAAAAATATTTACTCACTTAACTTAAATATGATGAAATAACTAATAGCTGTGTTACATTTTACAACAAAGCTTTTAAAAAAAAACCTTTTATTTTAATAAAAAATTCTTTTTGATTTTAATAACTTACTAATGAATTAAATTATATATTATTAATAACGCCATTAAGAGCATTTGTATTTGTTTTGCATATGTTATTAATATTCTTGAGGTATATAATATATACTCAATGGCTTTTGGACCATAGTTAATAAATATATTGATTTCCTTAGCAGTTTAAATCTGTAATTAAAATAATTACTAACTTATATTAATTGTTACTATTTACCAATAATTATAGTTCAAATATTTTTGTCATTTAGTATATATAGTTATATTTAAATGATTTGACTAAACATAAAAATATTAATGAATATATGCTTTGTTCAAATTAATGCATAAATAATTAATTCAGTAAATCTCTTAACTGATTAATACATATCAATATTTAATTGTATACAATTAATATATGAATATGTACTAATTTTAATTATCTTAGTGACATTTAAAAATATCAAGAAACATATTCAAAAGTATATCATTTTAAAAATATTTTAACACAGCAAGTATAAACTCTTGATCAGATTATCTGGATATAATATTATTTTCATTAATAATTAAATAAAATTGAAAATAATTTTTACAATCCTGAATTCACATCTAGAGTAGTAACATTTTTTATTGGATTACGTTAAACCAGTACTTGAACGTTCCTAAGTTTTGAGTATAGAACAAAACATTTTTAAATTACATCCTATGGATGAAAAACTAGGCGTTGCAATAACATTGTAGTAATTAATATCAACATTTTACAATGGTTCTGTTATCATCTAGGTGTACCCATACTTAAAAATAACATAATTACGGGGAAGGGAGAAGTAATCTATTTATTATTGTTATTTTTTTTGTCTTAAGGTACGTAAGTTAAAATGTTTATCAATTACTCATTATCGTTAAAAATGAAACCACCAATGAGCCATCAATTCAAATAATATTCGAGAACCAAAATTAGAAATTTTATTTCTTACGCACTCATGAAAGAGAGTTATTTACGTATTTTTATAAATGGCCAGATGAGCACTTCATTATCATAGTCACAGAACACCCGTATACCACGTTAACGAATAAAATTAACATAAGTAATAAGCAAACAAGCAGCTACTATAAGTTAGAGTATTTAGCACATTTTCTATTTATAATTAAGAATATTAACATAGCACAATAAAAATGTATTCATTAAATTGACACGAGTATACACTTAATTTTATCGTATTATTAAAAAATATACGTTTCGTTAAAAATAGTTTTCTTCATATGCAAACTGTATATAAATATAATATATAAATATATTATACACGTATTATATTAAATTTTCAGTCATTTTAATGATTATACATCTGTACAGTTAAATAATATATTATAATGAATCACAATAACAAATCCCTTTTAAAATTGGCATTTTGGCGAGCACCGGTCTCGATAAACAATCAGCTTGATGGCCGTATTCGTTAATTCTAAACACTTCACCAATAACTTTAAATGTTTGGCATCCGTTTTTTGTTTCCATGCCTAACGTAGCTTCAAAGTACCCATCACCTGGAGTAGCTTTGAATGTAATTTGAATAGATTTCTCGTACACTTTTCCATCATCGTATTTCTGCGATGCTTCGTACAAATATGCATGTTCTACAAGAGCCAATTTAATTTCAGCGCAATTTTCAAAACCATCCAATAATTCGTTAAAATACCTATAAAATAAAAAATGTTTACACTGTGATGAACCAATATATAATCAATCGCATTCGGTTCATAATGTTATTGTAGGTAAATATTATAATGGTCAAAAATGTAGCTACATGTCCCCAGCCCTCCCACCACGAACTTTCGAGTTCAAATTTTTGCAGTCGTTTGTGCTTCGTTTGCGCTTGTTTATGCTTTTATTGCCGTCGTTTGTGCTTAACCCGTTTCCGAGTTATCGAACTTTCAAGGTGGGGGGCTGGGGACATGATCAAACCCCCCCACTACCTCGGACTTTTGAGTTCAAATTTTTACAGTCGTTTGTATTTCATTTGTGCTTGTTTGTGTTTTTATTCCCGTCGTTTGTGCTTAACCCGTTTCCGAGATGTTAAACATTGAAGGAGGGTGGGGTCTAAGGACTTAGCCTCCCTACTAACCAATTTTTTATTTCATATTGATCTATTTGTTTATTCCACGTTTGTGTAGATTTGTGATCAAACTACAGCAGAAAATTCTGATTTATTTGGGATTTTTTTTATAATGATCCACTTTTTTTTTTTTTTTAAATTAATTTGCGTACACAAATTTAAATATTTGACATTTTTACGTGTATTTTAAAACAATAAGAGCTCTTCTCTCCAAAACCCCTAAGCGATATAATCATTATTAATGAATTTTCATTTTGAAAAAACTTAATAATAATAACACGTTTTTAAAATTGTATGAAACCTTTTTTATTTTGTTATTTTTAAATTTGGGTAAACTTTTAAGCGACCATTTTATCCGGCTACGGAAGTTAAGATGTGACAGGCTACTGCGAATTCGCACTGAAACTTATGCGTACCTACGTGTCTAAACGTGAACACGGTTTGTAAACAATACTTTTGAAAAATTATTAAGATACTAATACTAGTATTCGAATAAAAAGTATTAAAAATACTTTTAAAATACTATTATAAAATTAATTTTACGAATACTCACAAAGTATTTGAATACAAATCCAAGCATTTTTTTTTTAATTTTATGCTATATAATGTATATATATATTGTACACCAGTATAGGTACCTATTATGTTACTATTTTCCATGGATCTTAACAATTATTATAACATGTCTGACTATTTAGAGATAAATATATTTGCATATATTTTTTATTTTTGTTAAATATATCAGAGTACAAAATAAATCCGTTTCTCGGTGCCATGATATCAGATCTAAAATTTGAAAGTAATATATTGCATATATTGCATATATATATATATAAATATTTTTCTATGTTTGATAGATTTTGCAGGAGAGTACATATTTTAAAATTGTTATGCTTATTTTGTAGACATTGACAAATTTTTCAAATTTCAAATTAAAAACTATAGATACATATTTCAACCGATCAAAAAAAAAATGTATTAAGAGGACTTAATACAGTGGCCGCCGCTTAATGTAATCACGTTGGTACAAGACATAACCGATAACATAATCCGATTGATAACATTAAACGAAAGTTATAAATAATAATAAAACCTACATTAAATAAAAAAAAAATGAATAATGTAGTGTTGCGTCAAATTTTGTAATCATAATACATAGTTATTAAAAATATAAAATAAAAAAAATTAAATTAAATGTAAATAAATATGTATAATATATAAAACGATTTTATTATTTAATTGTTTATCCCTCTTTATTAATCACTCATTAAAAATAACTGACTGTCATCCAAGCATTTGTGTTGGTATAATAATCAACTGGTAAACATTTTACTGATTTAAAACAACGAGGATTTTTACGTTTCCCTATAACCAAAAGTTTTTGTTTTTTACCTAACATACTTGTACAACATAGGACAGTGATGCGCTCTTTTGCTATTTTACAGCATTTTGCGTTTTCATTTTTGAATAAATAACTATGCTCAGGCAAGGCACGATAAAATAATCCAGTTTCATCAGCATTATAAGCATTTTCGGGCGTATATTCTGAAATAATTTTTGACCATTCAGTTTTTATCCAATTTTCTGCTGCCGAGAAATCTGCGTCTTTTTATTCTCCATACGTTCTTTGTATACAATATTTTCACGTTTTATCCAGCGATGAAACCATCCTTCTGAGGCAATAAAATTTTCTATACCCATTTTTTTTTGCAAGTTCTTCAGCTTTTTGACGCAATATTGGACCATTAATGCGTGCATCATTTTTTCTAACATTAATAAACCATAATGTTAATGCTGATTCAACCTGTTCTTCTTTCTCACTGCATATCCTCTTTATGTTTGGATTTTTAAATAATTTAGTGTTGCTAAATTTTCTATTTCAATTCGTTTTTTTAATAATTTATACAATAATGGTTGGGAAATTTGTAGTTTTATAGCTGCTTCTCATTGTCCCATTTTTGGTAAATTGTCGTAACGTTGTAGAATTAAAATTTTATCATAAATTGCCAGGTCACTTATTTTTTGTTTTTTACTCATTTTTACTCACACACGATACAGATACATACAAACGTGATAATGGTCGACGGGCAGCAACGATAGTATCTTAATGCTATATGAACTAAAGGTAGATAAATATACGGTAAATAAATAACAGTATAGACATTTATATTCGAGACATTCGACGAAAACTTTGTATGTTACAAAATTATGATTTTATGACCTCAAACTGATAATATTATGAGGCGTATTGATTAAAATAACCGTCATACTTTACACATATAAGTATATATCCGGCCCGTACTTATACTTTTCGATAACAATAAACGTTTGATAACATTAACTGTGATTACATTAAGCGGCGATCACTGTACTTCCAAATATATACTATCTGCAAACTATCTCTCGTATCTCGTTGTAATTTTTGTTTAAGTATAAATAATACTATAACCCCGTATCGACCGTATAACCCGCTGGATATCAATCGGATGTCGATAAAGATAATAGTAGATATAAAATAATAGATTATTTGTTTAGTGTTCAGTTCAATCGATTATTATCCGTCGTTGTTTTTGCGTCTCGAAACCACACAACGTCGATTCATACGTAACACTTCGTACGAGTATATTTTGTAACATTGTGTAATACCGAAAATACAATAGCTTACGAGTAGCCGAATAAACAAACAGGCCAATAATAAATAAAAAATTGGTTACTTACATATACTTAATTTACTTTATAAAATGTGTTAATAAAACAATATACACTAAAAGTTTGTTTAAATATATTCTGAATTTATTAAGCATGCCCTTAGGCCCCACCCTCCTTCAATGTTTAACATCTCGGAAACGGGTTAAGCACAAACGACGGGAATAAAAACACAAACAAGCATAAATGAAACACAAACGACTGTATAAAAATTTGAACTCGAAAGTCCAAGATAGTGGGGGGGGGGGCTGAGCATGTCCCCAGCCCCCCCTTGAAAGTTCGATAACTCGGAAACGGGTTAAGCACAAACGACGGGAATGAAAGCACAAACAAGCACAAACGACTGTAAAAATTTGAATACGAAAGTCCGAGGTGGAGAGGCTGGGGACGTGCAGCTCAAAAATTTTGTTATGTTAAAAATAAATTTACTATATAAATATTATACAGAACGTTAAATTTAAGAAATAATTATAAAATCAAGAATGATATTACTTAATTTATATTTATATGTAGTATATGTATAATGGAGATTTTAAACAATTATCAAATTTTTGTTCGGAAAGGTACGTTTTAATTATTATTAAAATTTTTCGTACAAGAAATTCTCACATATAATCATACATTTGAATGTTGTTTGGCAGCATATTTTTAAGATTATTACAAATATCACTATTTATTTACAATTATATAAATATTTTTATAAATTCATAGATATACACTTATAAAAATCGTCTATTTTATATTACAAACCAATAGAAAAAAACGATTAAGAAAATAAGTACTTTTGCCCGTCGAGCACATAAGAAATAAGATTATCGTATATGAAAATTCAGTAAATTAGGTAATGAAATATTATAAATACATAAATTATCTTTTGATAGTATACCATATATGCACAATCGCTTTCGATAACTTAAACAACTCTATGGGTTAGAAGAAAATGAATTAGGTGTTGGTAAATAGTATAACCTACTACAGTCTATAATACCTTATGACTTCGTTTGAAGCTCCAATACTGTATGGATGTTCTGGATCAAGTTGCTTTTGTTGACCCTCGTGGCAAACACATAGCCATTGAGCCACGCCAGCTTCTTTGCAATCTCTTAGCAATGGAACGGGTTCAAAAAGTGACAGGCCTGTGCTAGCAGCTGAAAAATGATGCTTAACGTTCTCGTCTTGGATATTATTAAGCATCTGTTTTTCGATATCGGTTGATTTTTTCCGATTATTTAATGTACTTAACACATGTCTAAATGTAGCATAAATATCGAATGTGGATGTCAGTCTCATACGGTTTTCACGGAGTGATTCTTTCCAGGATGGATACTTTGCTATTATCCAATCTGGAAGTATTACGGTAACCATTGGCATTCGGTCTTCAATGGTTCCAACTTTGGTCCGCCGAATGAAATCCATGCGGTTTCCATGGTCACCGAGTACAAAAATCACAGTTCGGTTAAAAAGCCCTTCGCGAAAAGAAGACTTGAGAAATTGCATGTAATCTAGGTCTATCACCTAAACAGAAATTAAATAGATTAAGGATATGGAAATAGTTTTTTTTTTTTTTTTTTACGTGAAAAATAACAATCTTACTAACCCCGACTGTATTGACAAAGTCATGGCTGACTTCATTGAAAAGCGAGAACAAGAATACCGGCGAGTCTTGGTACACTTTTAGGAATGATTTTAAATAGTCAAAGTAGATAAGGTGCTTAGGCGTTGGTCCGAGGCAACCAGGCGAGCTCATCTTGTACAACATGGACTGTTCGACGGCCAACCAATAAGTACGCATATAATGTAAAGTGGGCTGTAAAGTAATACCGTTTGCTAAGTAGTCGAACATGTTGAACTCTGGCTGGTCTTCGGCGTAAAGAGTTGCGGCGCCTTCTTTACTAAAGTCTTTCCATATGTAAGGCCAATCCTGCGGATAAATATTAGCATAGTATTTCTTCGAAGATATATATATGAGCGTACATTTTGTCATTGTTTTATCACACTGAGCTCTGTGGTGTTACAAAAATGGAAAATATGAGCTCACATTCGTGAAAATCGTTTACGTACATCAAACTTATTATTGTGTTCCGTTAAGAATGACCGACCCGTTAGCATTGGGATCACATTCGGGAAAGTGTTCTCGCCCACTTTAGTAAAACCATACATCACATCACCATCCATTTCTTCAGTGATGAAATGATAGGAATTCACCATTTGTCTCATAAAATTTAACCGTGATATGGAATCGATTCCAATAACGGCCACGCCCAGTTCCATGTCGTCCTATCGAAGAAAAATATTACAATTACAATTTTTACTCTGCCCCGAAGCAAGTCAACGAGTAAGTCTTGTCGAATCATTTTCATATTCACTTTAAACTTTCTGACTTCTGGCCTTCTCCTAGCGTAAGCGTGGAAATTGTGGTACACCGTAAGCCCGAGGAAATTCGTGCAGGCCACGTATATGAAATCAGTCTGTGGCTCATGTAGACCGACGATAGGAATTTTCGGTCCATATTCCAAACGAAAATCGTCATCAATTGGACGAAATATTTCTTGATAAAAACAATAAAGCGTATTTGAACCCAATGAATATCCGGACTCTTCGAACCCTGTATCATTGAACTGTAAAAGGCCTGTGTTCATATCGATGTAAGTTAAACGATAAGACCGATCCATACATCTAAAACCGGAAAAAGTAGCAACATTTAAATGAGTTGATATCACCAGAACATAATAAAAACATAAAAATATATAATTCACCTTATAGGTTTCGGCACAAAAACGTATTTTAGAATGGACGGATGAAACGGATTGAGTATAGGAAACTGACATGTGACTCTTGGGTCACGATCAGTCAAATTCTAAAACATTAAACGTTATTGCACTTAGAATATATCATACGATTATTACAGACACACACACACATGTATATAAGTACATTGAAAATGATCGCGTTGCGACTTACTTCGTAAACGACCAAATGTTCGAGTTTTGGTCTCACCAACTCTTTATGAATGTGGTACACCGTCACCGATGCTTAACACAAAACATAAAATTATACTTATAGAAGATACAATTTCCGTATAAATCGTTACATCAGATTTATCGTCTTACCTAATGTCGTTACGAATATAAATAGGTATCTAATAGTGTAGTATGGTTCTTTGGCTTGCTGGTTACCGTGTGCTTTTTTGTGCTTTTTGTTGGCTGTCATTCTACCTCTCATGCGGATTGCTTCATGCTTTTCGTATTGACGAATTCACACTCCTGTTCAAAATAATAATGCACATTGTAGTTCTATTTATATATCACTTGTAAATGTGTATTACGTTAACATTGATAAATGTCAAATTACGGTACGTAAAGTAAAAGGTACGTTTAGTGGTAAATTATAGGTCTCATTATTGATTTTGCGTTATCATGCTTTCAATCTATAAGCACATCGGAAGAAAACATGATAACGTGTTTCCACCAATGTTTTACCTACATTTATTGAAATCATTCGAAAATAATACAATACAGCCACTATTATAACGTTATTGACTACATTATATTGTAGTGGTTGTGAAGCTGTGAACAATAATTTGGTTTGCATTTCTTTGACGTTATCGATCCATACAAATACCGAATTTTAAGTAACACTTTTTAAAACTGACAGGAATTGTGAACATTTTACCAAATGATTAACTATCAATTACAACGCTTGTTTTCTTAACCATCTATTTAGATGCACTTTGCACACTCAGCACCGTCTGGAGATCAGTTGTAAACGATTTAAGTTGTACAAGGATATTCCGCGTAACGTAAGACCGTTACTATTATGTCGACCGCAAAACGATTGTAATAAAAAACCTTCGGAACGTCGATAAGAGAGTTATAGTTTTTCAAAAAACGTGGCCGTGATACTGTAAAGTAGGATGATTACTTTTTATCATTTTAAAGTCCTACAGCTAAATCGGAACACACGCGCGCATTAAGATCGTAACGCGTAGAGGCATCCACGAACTCAATACGTTTATCGTACACACAAGCGCGGGCACGCTTTCGCCCACGCTCGCACAGTGACGCACAAAGCCGTACGAGCATACAGGGTGATAAATTGTCCGTTTCGCGATTGTTCTCCCGTGGCAGGAGACTACGGGGTGGTCTTTACTGTGCCAGCCCCGCTGAGAACCGAAAGAGGTGCACGTAACGTACATGTGGCATAAAAATAGCCGTATTCGAAACGCCAGACCAACTGGAATTCGAACGAGTGTATCGATAGGCTCTTCGCGCATATCATCCGAAAACCTAAAGCTGGTTACACACTATACGTTTTCGACGTAGCGTTTTAGAAAGCATTTTAGACGCGACGTTCGAACGCCAAAAATCAAACACACATCAACATACGGTCATATTCACACCAGGGAAAAACCGAGCGTCCGAACGCTTCGATACCCGTAGGTTTAATTTTGAGCGTTTTGGACGCAACAATTAAAATTAAACAATGTATTAACCATTTTGTATTCATACTGGGCATTTGCGATATCGCGTTTTGCAGCGTTTCGGTTTATAATCGGTTTATTTGGCTACCAAACGTCGACTTGCTTTGCTTTGTTACCTACTATTTTTTTTCTCTCCTAACGTTGTTGCAATCTTTTATACAATACATAAACAAACAAGCTGCTTCTACATCATCTAATGTATTTATATCTAATCCGTTTAACGCCATTTTAAAATAAATTAAATAAAAAAAGTAACAAAAACGTTGTACGATGTATATATGAGTACCTACATTTAAATACCAAATTACAGTATTTTGGACAACGAGGTTAGTTTACACCATTTCCCGTGTGTACGCTCTCGATAATATTTGTTTCAAAAACAAGATAATAAAACGCGTACATTAGCGTCTAAAACGCATAGTGTTTAGTTAACCTAACGCGAGCGTTTTGAATGCCACGTTTTTAAAACGCGTAGTGTATAACCAGCTTAATGCTTCATCGCAAGCCAGGCAACGATGACGTGTGGTCTCGGGGACGCCACCGGCGCAGCTCCTTAACCCCCCCCCCCCATATTTCGTACGCGACAATCCTTTTGAGAACGAAAACGTTTTTATGTTTATTTTTTCCGCTTTAATCGCAATTATTTAATACGATTGATGTATTTGTAGTGATTAGCGAGTTGACACCGTAAGAACATTGTATTTTAGTCTGTTAAGTCAATGTGGTCAACGCTGATTAACCACTGGAAGTTTAATAATTACCAAATTACAAGAGCTGCGTTAGAAAGCGCAAAAAATTATTACGAATCAACGAATCGATTCATTTTCATTTCACAGTTAAAAGAAGTGAATTTATTTTTTACTGAATCGTGAAGCATACGTACAATGTGAAAGGATTTTTTTTTACATTTTTTTTTTTAAAACTTAAATTTATTTATCTAATATTCAATTCACACTTTTAAATTATTTACACTTATTTACCATATTTTCTTAAATTCAAAATCAATTAACAGAAATAAATATACAATAAAATATATTTTTTATTTTATTTTGTTTTATTAATTTTTAACAAACTACAACGGTTTAATAATCATTTTTATCTGTTACACATTCAAAATTTTAAAATAAATTGACTTTTATACTTCATTTTAACTAAATTAATAACCACTTTTACAGTTCATCCAAAAATAATTCAAGGTTAGCACATGTTTACATATTATTTTAACATTTTGATTACTTAACACTTAAAACTATTTCATATTGTAAACGTCTCAAAAACATTAATAGTTTATCCATATTAATTGGTATTAGACAAGCAAAACGACTAGGTTTTACTGTTGAAGTTGTAACGCGAATGTTACGAAAAATATTGTTGCACATATTACATTATATCAGATCCTTGTTTCGTACAGACCATATGTAGATCAAACAATGGTTTATATTACAATTCTCAACAATGACTTGCCTGAATGTTCAGTGTCATTTATGACATTTAAACTGATATTTAAATTATAATTTACGATATTAATTTGCTTCACTATAGTTTTATAAATTTAATTGATTTAATTAATCCTCGTAAATAAATTTCTTATGATTTCTATACTTCTAATACTTATATAAACTATATAACAGTTTTATTTTCACTACCTACTAATGTATATGATAAGATAAGTGGATCATAAACTAATTTCCAACCTTGTTAAAAATTTTTTTAATATTGTTAGAATACTTATTTATATACATTTTGTTCAAGCATTTAAATAGTAATGAAAATATTTTTTAATATTATTCAGAACATTTAAAAATATTTTTTTTTTTTGGTTCAATAAATTTATTTTAAAATATTTGTACATTATTCGGAAATAGATGGGTATTAAAATTGATTTATACATATTTCAATTAAAATAAAATACATATATACTTTAATTAGTACAAGAAAGTTACTCATATATGTCACATACTCTGATTATAAGTACAGTTATTAGACAATACTTACCTAATTATGGAAAAAAACAAGAAAAATATTGACTACAGTCGGTCGCAAATCTAAAAATGATAAAAGAGGGGACCGAACGAAAACATATACTTCAAGTATATAAAATCATTGGAATTAAGTTTAATAGTTCTAATGAAATAATAATAAAATAGTAACAGTATTGATTTAAAATCAAATTATTGTTGTTACAGCTTTTAAAATGAAAAGAAAGAGAATTTATAGATTCAAGATAAAGACTAATCCAACCAGCGGTGGTCTGAGTCCCGTATGTCTAGACCAACAGGGGTTTCAATCATTACGTTAGCTGCTTATTTAACGAAATCTAATTTACATAATTTTAGAAGTTCGAATAATTATAAAATTACATGTTTGAAACAAAATCTAAAATAGTACGTAACGAAAATATTAGTAATTGGAATTTGAAATAGAATAAAAATACAAAGAAAGTATTTTTTGACTATTTAAAATACAATGGTCGACAAATACTTAAAAATTATTTGAATATAAGTAGGTTTTCGAATATAATACTTAACAAGACTGTGTATTTCTCAGTTACTGTAGGCTATATGTTAGTGTAGTATTAGTATATTGACGTTGTCACGCGTTTATTGTTTGATATTTCAAGTGCTAATTTTGCTTATTTATACTTATTATTCTTTTTAAGTTATTTTTAAGACTTAGAATGACTGTTAAGATAATACGTGATAAAATATATTTAGTCCATCATTATAATAATGAAATAACTAGAAACAAATTATAGTCTAATATTTAAATACATGAGAATATCGATTATACGTGGTAATGGTGGGGAAGGGTAACACAGATAAATGAAAAACATGGTTAATCGAGACAATTTATTAAACGAATTATGAAAAAATGTACAATGTTGTATGCATATTAAGTATGTACAATGTTATTTTCTTAATGACTGTTGACGAAACGGCAATAGCAAATACTAAAAACACACTTAACAGTATGGAACAAATTTGACAGAATTGAAAATTTTCTATATGTATTAATTATAACGTGATTAGATAAATATGATTATTGAAGAACCTCTAGTAAGTCTCTATTAATCTTAAATAACTCTTATCTACCTGTGACATATATAGCCATCTTTTTATCGTCGAAAAGGTCGTTTATGTTTTTCGATAATGTATTTTATGTACGAAATATAAAAGTACGTTCGTCCAATCTAATAAAACTTTTTAGACGAAAAATTTTAAACGACGATAATTTTGGAAGAGTGAGCACGGTTAATCGCGAACATGAATAATCGAGACATGGTTTATCGAGGTTCCACTGTATTAAGAATTTTATTTTTCAATGTACGCATTATAAAACTCAATACAAAAAAACCGTGTAAAGATTGGAATGAAATAAGTGTTGATATATTGGAAGGAAGCACGAATACCAACTAAAACGGATAAAATTTGAATTAATAAATTGTAGAAATTAAAATAGAATTATCATAAAATGAATGAAGAGAGTTACACAAACAAGCAAGAAAAAGAACGGGAAGCCACGAAATAAAAGGGCAAATATTAATTTATATTCTATATATATTCATCGATATAGCATTCACAGATACACTAAATATTATAAAAATTTAAGAAAATTAACAATTTCTAATAAGTCAGTGAAAAGTTGGAAGGCTGGGTTTTATGTATAGCATTGATTATCAAATGCAATGAAGAGAATCCCGAGTGGAGAGAAGCAAAAAATGTATAAAACGACATTATAATTTTAATTTAGAAAATACGGAGGTTTACTTGAAAAAGAATTACT